GGGCCCAGAGAGGGGGAGACAGAGGATCCCAAGCAGGCTTTCTGCTGCCAGGGCAGAGCCCGATACCGGACTCAGTCTCACGAGCTGTGAGATCGTGACCCGAGCCGAAATCAGGAGTCGGACACTTAACCGACTGAGCCACCCAGGCACCCCTCTGCCACGTTTATTAATTAGCGTCAAATGGTTGTGTTCAGGTAATTCTGTTTCTCCTCTGTGGTTCCTTTGTGGAAGCCAGTTGCTGGAAGAAGTGCCGTGATTTCTGTGTTGATTTGATTGCTTATTTCTTTTTTCTCCTTCTAGATCGTATGTTACATATACTTCACCAGGATCATTGCATTTCTCCTCAAACTCGCCGTTCCGTTCCAGTGGAAGTGGCTGTACCAGGTGTGCTGCTCGTGGGGGACAGTGCTAGAGACTTTCTGGCTGCGGATGAAGTGTCGGGGTTTCACTTAAGGTCGCTCCAAAGTTCCCAGACAGCGGCCACTTTGCTCTCTTCTGATCCACAATTAAGAGTCTCTGTTTGTCCAGGAAAGCTGCCAGATTACGTGAAAGAAATCTGGAAGTCATTGCATTATCGATTTTACTTTGCAATTTTACAAGACTTTGAAGAGAAAAGCCTCAGGCAGAGAGCATGAGATTTGCCCTGTATAATTAAAAGCCAATGAGACGTGGTCTGTCCTTCAGTTACGGGGCTTAGAACGGCTTAGAATCCAGAGCTCCCTTCTTCCGTGCCCGTCAGTGTTTCGATACCACGGGGCCTTTGCCACGCGCTAGGGCTAGTTAGCTACGAGGGTAAGCCGCCAGGTGATTCAGAGCCTTTTCTGCTTCTCGTTCTTCTCGAAGCGTAGACTTGGCGTTCAGTGCCGTGTTAGTTCCGGGTGCACGACACGGTGACGTGGAGACTTCCTAGAGCCACTCGGTGCCAAAGGGCGCTGTAGGAAGCGCAGGGATGTGAGGGGCTCTGAAAAGATACCTGTGACGACAGGCTGAAGCAGGGCGTCGTACACGTCCTCTCGGGGCAGCATGCTCCTAGCTGGGGCGCGGCACACCTTCCGAGGAGACCCTGCCCTGGCGTTTGAGCGGCCGGCCAGCCGGGGGTCGTGGGGGGCTGGGCTGGTTCGTTTTTAGTTCCACGGCCTTCCGAAGAGCAGCGTGCTGATCCCTTTGTTGGGGTGGGTTTTCATTTGCAGCTCCTGGACGAAACGGCCACGCTGGTGTTCTTTGTCCTAACGGGATGTAAATTCCGTCCAGCCTCAGACAACCCCTACCTGCAGCTCTCTCAGGAGGACGACCTGGAAATGGAATCAGTGTAAGACATCTCCTTTCTCGCACCTCCTCCTTTGCCCGGGGACCCGACGTAGCGCAGAGCAGTGCGGTGTGACCTGGGGCAACTTCTCCGTGCGTCGTGTTGCCCCAGAGACGGTACCTCTGTATTTAGTAGAAGGACGTGGACGCCTAAGCCCCGGGCTCTCCCACTCCTTGCTTGTTGACCGACGAGCTGTGATGGGCCAGGTCCCTTGAGGTGTTTGATGATGAGCCTGAGGCCGAGTTTCAGGGGTGCTCCCTCCAGCAAGACGGGTGGCCTTTCGACCTGTCCCGGTTCAAAGGCTGAGCCTCTGCCCTTGCTGGGCCCTGCTGGGCCGTCAGGCAGCGTAGGACCGCTGTGTGTGCTCAGCCCCACTGCGGGAACAGTGACCGGAAGGCAGATCCCAGACGGGCCCCAGACAACAGCTCTCTGTGGAAGAAGAAACACCTTTTTACAGATAGCAGAGGGGAAAACGGTAGGACCATCGGACGTTCTAGGAAGAGCGGAATCTGAGCAAATAACTCGGTCGAAGGGGCCCAGATGAAAGTCCCGTGAGCGGCTGCGTGACCAGCAGGCTGTGGTGGATTCATCCGTTCCCCTCACGGCAGGGCTTCCCTGGGGGCCGCAGCTAGAAGCTGAATGGCTGGGTCATTTGATGTCCCCCATATGCTTTCCATCAGCCATTGCAATCGGAAGCAAGGATGCACCGTAAAGGTATTTTTGTCTCGTGGCAAAAAAAAAATGTTAGAGAGAGAGAAAGCGCACGTGCACGTGCAAGCAAGGGAGGGGCAGAGAGAGAGGGAGACACAGAATCGGAAGCAGGCTCCGGGCTCCGAGCCGTCAGCACAGAGCCCGACGCGGGGCCCGAACCCACGAACCGCGAGACCATGACCTGAGCCGAAGTCGGACGTTTAACCGACCGAGCCACCCAGGCGCCCCACATGGCGGATGTTTTTTTGATTTTGTTTTAGGTTTTATTCCTCTGTGGCAACACGTGATGGCGGTGGTGACCGTTTTGGCAGAGGGGTCTGTGTGTGTTCAAGTCAGGGCAGGGTAGTGGGGGGAGGGGGCACGAGTCAGGTGGAGCCTGGAGAGGGTGTGGCCTTTATCCCGGCGGCTTTGGGAAGGTCGGGATGTCGAGGGTTGTCCGTTGGTTGCCTCAGCTGCCGCTGGCGTTCTGAGGGAGGACCGCTCTGATGGCGCCGTCTTCTGTGGCCGGCCAAGCGTGAGCCGTCCTGTCGTCGTGAAGGGGGCTGCTCTTCGGTGGCCGGAAAGCCGAGTATGCACCAGCCAGGAAGTCAGACCACAGAGGGAGGTTTCGTTCAGGGTGGTGCCCCTGGAAAGGAAGTCGGGGAGCCGAGTGAGGCCAAGTGCCTTTAAGTCAGCGCAGAAATTGTCCTGGGGCTTCCCTTTGGCTGAGAGAAAGTTCGGCCGGAGAGAAAGCCCCGTGGGCTTAACACGATGTGACAGAGCGGAACGGGCCCGAGGTGGAGGGACGCCGCCGTGACCGCCTGCCATCCACACTCACCCGCAGCTGGGCGTGAGGGCCGGTGGCAGCTTCTCGGGGACACCACCGCGCCCCAGGCTGCCCGCTCCCTCTTCTGCTTGGAGCTGCTCTTCCTGAACGGCACCTCTTCAGTCTTCCAGAAGTAACCGAAGCCAGAGGCGAGCAGAGCCACCGTGTTTTCTAGAAGGTCGGGAGCTCTCTGCCATCCCCCTCGGAGGGTGTTTCCTCAAGAAAGGAGCTGGCTCTGATCCTCACCACAGAACAGATATCGCTTCCTCTTGGTGGGAGGGACTACTCCCTAGGCCTCACACACCCCAAAACCAATCCTCCTGACGAGTCTTACCCCCTGGTGGCACACGAACTCTGCCCTGGGCCACTCACCGACCTTATTGACTTGCGATTCTGGGTAGTTTCTTTTCTTCCTGTTTTCGCTTCCTTTCTCTGAAGTGCGGTACATCTGGGAGGTGAGTCTTGACGGTTGAGCCCAGGACAGGCCGTGCTCCTCCCGTGGTCGAGTGCTCCCACCCTTCCTCTGGCTCAGGCCTCGTCCGGCTTCTCCCGCTGAGCCTGCAGAGTGAGGGTGCAGTGAGAAGTAGCCGACTTTCTGTCTTTTTCTCCTTTTACTTCTGTGCACACCTCTCACTGGGCTAACCAGAGCCTTGCCCATTTTGATAAGAGAATTTATCCTAAAAAACTCAGGTTAGAAAGAATTGCGTGCGTGCGGTTTTCGGCGTTCAGACTTGGTCACGGCCCCCTGTGCTTTGCGTGTCCTTGAAGATCTGAATTATTTTCCGCTGTCTTGAGAAGTCAGAACGGAAGAAACATTTGGTGTGGGTTCCAGGGCCGGGAAGCTGCCTCTCTGGGGTTCCCGTTGCAGAATGCTGGCCTCAGGGTTGCGGCCAACCTTTTCCCACTCAAGTGGGTATGTAACAAAAGTGAAAATGGGAATTCGAGACTAGTAGAATTGTTTCTCGACCAGTCCTCCCCACGTTTCAAGTCCAGAAAAGAAATTTCAGTTGGGTTGTACTTTATAGTTGGGTTCCAGAAGCAGATGTGTCCAGGGGCCACTTAGGCCCAGGATCGCGGTCTGGTGCAGCAGAAGGGGCAGCGGGTGCCCGGGGCTCCCTCTTTTATCTTGTGTCCAGTAGGCCTGTTCAGTTGCGAGCGCAGATAGGGTTCTGCTAGGAAAGGAGATGTAGAAGGGAAGTGGGAGGCGGCCGTGGGACCATCTGCTGTCTCCAGCTCTGTTACACTCCCCTGTTCCTTCTCTCAGGCACATCCCTGCCCCACTTTCCTCTCTGTGCTCCACACCTCTCCTGATCCCGCAGGGAGCGCGTCAGCTGGGCTCCACACCTGCCGCCGTCACTCGGGCCTTGAGGCCGGTGCCCTCCCCAAGTCAGGAGTGGCCACTTGGGCTCGAGGAAGTGCTTCCCCGAGCAGGCACTGGAGGCCCACGACAGCTCCGGGTGGCTCCGTCAGCCCCGCAGGCGGTTTGGAGCCCTGCCCCCAGGGAGCTCCCGGTGTCCCTCGGGAACAGTGTGCCACTGGTGCCGGGGCGCAGACCGCACCACCACAGGGGGGTGCACCCGGAGCCCAGAGCAAGGGCGACGAGGAGCTAGTGAGGCAGAGAAAGAGTGAGCAGAGGTGAGAAGGACAGAGCCCGCCCTCTCCCGACCTCACTGTCCCCGTTTGGGAAGTGAAAGGTGACGGCCGGGCGGCAGCCCCGGAGGCTGAGCCTGCCTTCCCAGAGCTGCTGTTGGGGCTGGAAGTCACTGCTGCCCGTTGCCTGACCTGAGCTCAGAGGGGCCTCTCCACGTCGTGCACCGCGTCGCCGAGCTCTGCCGGCTGTGCTGCGGGTGCTGCTCCGGGGGCCGGTCACCTGGTGGCTTTTCTGCCGTTGTCCCCCCTTCGGCATTTGCGTTCAAGGTGGGACCCTCAGGGAGGTGCCCGCGGAGCCCCGAGGTGGCCGGAGCCTCACCTCCCGTCCCTGCGTGTGGGGCTTTCGGGCGCCTCCTTTCTCCTGCCGCAGCGTCCGAGCCCCAGTCGGTGGGGGCCGGCCAGTCTCGCCTGCGGCACCTGGGCACCAGATGTCCTTCTTGCTTCCCAGCGGTTAGCTGCGCGACAGGACACGGAGGCCCGCCGGCGTCACTGCCGTCCGCTGTCTTGACCTGCTTCCGCCCGCCTCCCGTCACCTGCTCTCGTTCCCCCTGTGCCGGCGCACACCCTGATTCCTCCGGCCTTGGGGCCTTTGCCCTCTTCTCGGCGGGTGGGCGCACCCGAGCCCAGGGCCACCTCGGCCGTCTCCCCACTGACCACTCCCCAGTCCCCGGCTCCGGCCACGTGCCTCTGGCCATCTGCCCCCCATCACCCAGGCTTGCGCCCCTGCATCCCTTAAGGGCCTCAGCGGCACAGCCATCCACCCGGTCACCACCAGCAGAAGGTGGCGGTTGACCTCAGCACCTACCTCTTCTCAGCCCACGTGGAGTGAGTGGCCACCTCTCGGGGACCCGATGTCGTGTCTCCTCCCCCCGCCCCCGCTCACCCCAGCGGCCCCGCCTTCCTCCAGCCCGCACGGCAGAGCAAGGGTTTTCTCGGCTGCTTCACCAGCCAGAAAGCTGCATCTGATGAGGGAAAGACAGGGGGCAGGTGTGTGTCCCAGGCCACAGCCCGAGCCCCACTCGGGTCCCGCGAACGGGCTGTGCTCTCTCTGCAGCCAGGGCCGTAGCCCCACGCGGCTGCTGTCGCCTCGAGCAGCTCTGGGAGACACGAGGCTGCGTTTCTTGTCAGACCTCCTGCGTTTGGAAAGGCCGTGCTGGGTGTGGAAAGCCTCTGGTTCCCCTGGGCCTGCAGCCACTCCCCCGGTCCGTCCCAACCAGAGACAGCCGGTGCCTTGAAGAGCAGCCGTGTGCGCGCGCGCCTGTCGCCGGGGAGAGCCGTGCCCTGCCTCCCTGGCCGACGGGAAGTGACGCTGGGTCACGTGGCCAAGTGAGCCGGTTTCCCGTGTCCGGGGGCCGCATGTACACTCACTGACCGCCTCCGCGGGAACCCCCCGGTTCCCCCGAGGTCTGCGTCTTGGCGGCCCGCCTTGTCCTGACTTTGCCAGAAGTACAGCCAACCCGTGAGTCTGAAGGACTCTTGTCTGAGAAAAGTCCCAACTCTGGGGACGCCTGGATGGCTTTGAGGCTTGGTCACAGCAGCAACATGGTGGCAGGAATGAAGGGTGGAAAAGGGTGGAAATTTTCCCTTCCCCCGTAAAATCATTTATTTGCCTTTAGCTCCAGCTGGACCGACTCTAGATATGTCACGTTATAGGGCCACCGAGGTACCATTTGTAGGTGAGGGGATTTGGTAGCTGGTGGAGGGGGGTGGGGACGAGAGTCCTTGGACAGACTGAGTCGGCTGAATTTATTTTACTCACTGGGAAATTCTCGTTGGTCTGGGCACATAGGTGCCTCGTTGTTTTCTAGAGTTCCCCTAGTTTCTTTAGCTTCCAGAGGTTTCCTGTGTGCTCCTTGCCCCACACACATAGCCTCCTGTGTTACCAGCATCCCCCTCTGGAGTGGTAGGTACGTTTGTGATACTCGATGAACTTAAGCCTGACATGTCGTCACCCAGAGTCTGTCACTTACCTCACGGTTCTCTCCTGGTGGTGTGCATCCCGTGGGTTTGGACAAACGTGTCGTGCCGTGTATCGGTCTGACAGACTTCGAGTGGTTTCACTGCCCCGTGACCCCTGTGAGCTGTGCCTGCCACATGGAGCCATGTCTCTGCATGATGTCTCCTGCTACGAAGCCGCCCGGTCCCTTCCTGGGTCCAGAGAGCATTAGAACCTGTCCAGCTCACAGACTGTGAGGCGGGGGGGTTGTCCCGTCGTTGACCCCACCTTCTCGAGAGATGCCGTGACCCACTCTCTGGAAAGGGCCACTGTACTTGGCTCGTCGCGCTCCTGAAGCTGATGTTCTTGCGTGTCTGACCTATGCATTTGGCACAGGGTTCCGTGGCACCTGCTCGCCTCTAGGCACCGGCAGAGATAAGGCCCCTGTCCTGGGGTCACAGCGTGGAAGCAGAGCCACGTGCTTGTTGATAGCCGCGCAGCCTGGCCCCCCAGGTTTGTAGGCAGCCGCCGGTTCCCGATCTCTGACGGCCAAAGAACCTCTGGGCCAGAAGGTTCCTCTGCATCCGTGGTTGTGTCTCATGACTCAGAAAGGATCCGCGTGGCCGGTTGTTACGAATGACGACACCTGATGAACTCTGTGTTCGCAGAGTTCTGATACAGATGTTGCTCTCGTCATCCGTGTAGATCTGCAACATAAAAACTCGTGGAGGCCGCGACAGGGAGAGAGAAGGAGAGAGGCCGTCACTGACCGTAGTAATAACAGCTGGTGTGCATTGATTGGGTGCTTTGGAGAATCTCGTCTTTCTCTGATGACGGTTCTGAGAAGCGTGAGTCGTTTATTATACTTGAGAACAGGGAGGTCAGATGACTTGGCAGAGGTCACACAGCTAGCCCGGAGCGGGGTCAGGACCCAAACCCAGGCCGGTCTGTTTCTAGAGCCGACACGTAAACCACTCGGCTGTGCTGTGGTGACGATGGCCTTTTGCTCCAAGACTGAGACTTTCCCAATTTTTTTTGTTCTCCTCATTCAGAGTGACGACGTCAGGGGTGATGGAGAATATGAAGAAAGTCAAGAAGGTGACCAATGGGTCGGTGGAGACCCCAGGCGACTGGGAAGGCACCGCGTGATGGAGCAGCCTGGCGGCGGGGACTGTCGAAGAGAACATTTAATTTATTAATAGTCCTAGTGGTGAGCGGGGGGCGGTCGGCACCTCCCGACGGTGACACCACAGAGCACGTGGCCGGGAACAAAGCGCCACGGAAACCTAATTTTTTACTCTCTTCTATGGAAACTGGACCTGTGGCTGGTTATAGGCAGCTAGAAATCTCCTTCAGGTGGGAATGGTTCGGGGGGGCAGTGTAGCCAGGAGGAGGATAAAAGGAAGACTCTGTTTTTAATTTATATTTCTTTCTTTTTTTCATTGGGAACTCTCCAGAAATAGGTAGTCATGCCCCAGGTGTGTCACAGCAGAGACCTTGGGGGAGGGGGCAGGGGGGCGGTGGTGCGAGGCCGGAGCTGGTCACGGCTCGGGAGCAGGGTCGCAGGAGCTGAGCAGGGACTGAGGATACAGGGACAGAGAAGGGAAAGACAACATATCGTCGCAGCTTTGGGGGACAAAAAGGAATGAAGTTAGGTTATTTTAGAAAGCAAAGCCCAAGCCCAATTTAGTTATACGGAGCCTGCCCCAGGATTCCTGGCCCTGAGTGTCGCCCCAGACCTTGATCCCAGATTCTGAAAGTGACCAGGAACCAGCAGCTCTAGAGGCCCGGTGGTCGTCTTCCCAAAGGGGCTCTGTCGTCTGAGGGCTGAGTGTCACTGTTAGAGTCACGGCTCTGGGACTGTGGTGGGAAGTGCTTTTCTTGATTGAAGGGTATTTAGTGTTGTCTGATGGGTGGGCAGAAATGTATTTTTCAGCTCAAGAAGCATCATCCAGTAGGGTTTCCTCAAACAGCTGGCTCCTCTGACCACCCAGAGCAGGGCCACCTCGCTTCCCTCTGTGCTTGTGTTCGCGTCTGTCTCGTGTCATCAGAACCCGGGGAGAAATGGGGAGGAATCTTCCTTAAGGAGCAGCTGGGGGCAGAAAACGTAGCGTTTAAGCAAGTACTTAAGTACAACTAAGTCGTCATCATTAAAAAGCTTTTGCTATAAACCGGGTAGGCTTTCTAACAGGAACGGAACAGACTCGTGCCTGTATCCCCGGAGCGTGCATGCGAAGAGAGCAGGTGTGGTTGAGCAGAGCTTTACCCTCAGGGACTGGCGATGGCGACGGCGAGTTCTTCCTCAGACCCCGCAGAGGGCCCCTCCCAACTCCCAGAGCCTGGAGATGGACACAGGTAGCCGCTTCCTGGGGGGACCGGTGGTGCAGCTGGTAGCGAAGTCATTTGGATAACGGGACAAGCTCGGAACGTCCGCTGTGACGCAGGGAAGGAGGGCTTGGCAGTAATTTCCCAACGTGGTTTTGGTCGCACGGGCCTGGGGCGGGAGGCTGAAACGCGGCCTCGTCGGGAATGCTCCCAGGGTACCGGGACCCCTTGCCTGCCTGGGCCTCTCGGGGGTGGACAGCGGCCGTCTCCCGGGGTGGTTTTCTCACCCCTGGCTTGGGGGAGTCCATCAGAAGCCGCAGGATTTGGGGGTGGCACTCAGGATCCCAGACTTGGGCACCTGAGCAGAGTCCTCAGAAAGCGGTTGTTTTCCATCTCCTGGGCCGCTTTCTCTCCCGGATGAAGGGGCAGGAGAGTTTTCGCGTGCTCACCTTAGTCCCCTCTGTGGTCTGTGAGGCTCTTCCTGCTCGAAGTTCTGTCGCGGCCAGGCCTGTGGTGCAAGGAGGCTCCTTCCCAGGCCGCTGCCGCTGCTGACCCTGCCACAGATTATAGGGAAGGGGCCATGTGTCTCCCCACCTTCAGGAATGAAGAAATCTGCCCAAAGTATTTACTTAAGGGACCTTTTCTCTTTTCCTTCCTTCCTTCCTCCCTCCCTGCCTGCCTCCTTTTCTTTCCGTCTCTGTAGTCAGGTTGGGGCTACAGGACAGAAGAAGGAAGTTGCAGGGAGGGCGGGAACATTAAGACTGTGCTTTCGTGGCATAGACACGGTTCCCGTGCTTCTGAAATGTGTCTTGTGCTGTGGCCCAAACCCCCGTAGGCGCTTCCCTCTGGGGGACGCATCCGCTGTTTGTCCTGCAAGTAGATGTTCTGGAGCAGGCCGTGGACTTCTTGGCAGGACCCAAAAGTGCAACAAAAGCTTCCCCCTGGAAGGGTCCCCGTGGAAGCGAAGCAATGAGGGAGCGAGGGAGGAGGAGAGCGGCCGTGGGCACCGCCGACCTGACGGCCGTCCCGGAGCCGGCCGTGGCGCCTGCCTTGGCGCCCACCGTCCTCTGGCAGAGCCCGAGCCTCAGCCACCACGGCGGGGCGTGAGCCAGCGTGTTGGGCTTCTCTGTGCGACACGTGTGCCTCTCGGCTCATGCACACCGCAGCTGAGTGGCCGCACGTGACCACCTGACCCCTCCGGAACCGGAAGGTGCAGGCGAGATAAGGCAGTGATTTAGGAATAAGGGCTGACAAGCGGGTCGTCTGCCCGCAGCCCATGTTGTAACTGGCAGGTGTGAAGTGAGGCCAGGGATGGAGAAGAATCAAAATCCCCGCCCAAGATCGGGAAAACCGGTTCGCCCACATTTTTACAAGTTATTTGTGCTCTCCATCCCGTTCTGTAAAAACATCCTCTCTTTGGCCGTCACGTAGTAGCTGTGGCCGGCGTTCAGCTCTGCCCCCGAGGGAAGGGGACCGACCGATGGGTTCCGAGCCAGGCAGGTGCGCCGGCCCCTCCAGCAGCCCGGTATTCACGGCTACGCGGGCTTCCGGGGACGCGGGGCTACAGCGTAGTTAAGCCCTTCGGTATTCCAGGGATCGGGCGGGAGGGACTGGGTGCACGTCGTGGAGGGATCGGCAGTATCTATGGCTTTGTTTTGTGCTCCCGCTGCCCGTTTCTGCCTACGCGTGCTTCCTTTGAGAGCTCTGCTGTGGACGGCAAGCGCGGCCGGCCGCGAAAGGTCAGGAAGTAAGGGGGTCTGTTTTCCTCCAATGAGATGTGTGCGTTTTGCTAGAAAGCTACTACTTCGACGATAAGAACAATCATCGATCTCTTAGTCCTGGCTCTTAACAGTGGCCGGGGACTCCACCAGCCTCCTTGTCGGTTCCTTGCTGCTTTAAAATTTCAGTAGCAGCGCACTTGAACCTGCCGAATGCAACTCGGGTGAATCGGAGGCCCATTCTCCCCTTAGGAGGTGCTTCCTCTAGTGTAAAAAATGGTTTCTCAGGTCATAGCCTGAGTCCGTTCCGTTTTCTTCCAAGAAACCACTTTGGAGTACAATATCCAGGTTTGGTTTGCTTTCGCCCGGACACAGCCGGCCAGCCAGCCCCAGCAGCGCGGTCTCGTCGGAAGTCTGCTCCGAGCGCCTGTCGAGGCGAGATTTCTGCGCCTGCCTTATGATCTCATCGGGATATCTGCTCTGTCCTGTTCCACAGCTGTCCTCCTTCCTCCCCCTCCAC